TCAACAAGTTCTCTGACCCAGCAGGGAGCAGCAGGCCCACATTCTACTTAAGTCTGTTTTTTTTGCTGCTGATGTTCCTGTAGAAGCTCTTCTTGTTGTCCTTCATATTCCTCACAAGTCTAAACTCTAAGTGGGCTTTGGCTTTTCTAACTGTGTTTCTACATGCTTGGAAGGCTGCACTGCCATTCAGTGGGACCTGGACAGGCTGGAGAGTTGGGCGGAGAGGAACATGATGGAATTCAAGAAGGGCAAGTGCCAAGTGCTGCACCTGGGGAGGTTGAACCCCATGCACCAGTACAGGCTGGGGGCTGACCTGCTGGAAAGCAGCTCTGCTGAGAGGGACCTGGGAGTCCTGGTGGATGACAAGCTGACCATGAGCCAGCCGGGTGACCTTGTTGCAAAGAAGGCCAATGGCATCCTGGGGTGCATCAAGAGCAGTGTGGCCAGCAGGTCGAGGGAGGTTATCCTCCCCCTCTACTCTGCCCTGGTGAAACCCCACCTGGAGTACTGTGTCCAGTTCTGGGCTCCCAGGTTCAAGACAGTTGAGGAACTCCTAGAAAGAGTTCAGAGGAGAGCAACAAGGATGATGAAGGGACTGGAGCATCTCCCCTACAAGGAAAGGCTGAGAGAGTTGGGCTTGTTCAGCCTGAAGAAGAGAAGACTGAGAGGGGACCTCATCAACACATACAAATATCTTAAGGGTGGATGTCATGAGGACGGAGCCAGACTCTTTGCAGCAGTGCCCAGTGACAGGACAAGGGGCAATGGGTACAAACTGAAACATAAGAGGTTTCAGTTGAATATGCGGAAGAACTTCTTTACTTTGAGGGTGGCAGAGCACTAGAACAGGCTGCCCAGGGAGGTTGTGGAGTCTTCTTCTCTGGAGATATTCAAAGCCCGCCTGGATGAAGTCCTGTGTAACCTGCTCTAGGAGAACCTGCTTTAGCAGGGGAGTTGGACTAGGTGATCTCCCGAGGTCCCTTCCAACCCTTGCCATTCTGTGATTCTGTGATTCTGTGGACAGTGTCTCTATATTCCTTCCAGGTCACCTGTCCTTGCTTCCACTTCTTCTACACTTCCCTTTTAAATTAAGAATTTTAGTGAGTATCTTCATCACCTGAAGACAGAGATACCTGTCCTGATGCTGGTACAACTCCATAAATGTATGTAAAAAGGACAATGCTTTCTTACAATCTTTTGAAAGAAAGACTAATTTGTGATATATAACTTTAAATGTAAGAATGAGTATATATTACATCCTTCTTAGAAGTTCCATTCACTTTGTTTATTCTTCTGAGCTCTTCTATTAAGCTACTGTTTACTTTTGAGTTGTTCAGAGCTCATAGAATAGCTAATAGAAGTATCAAAATTGCTCTTGGCATCTTCATATCAAAATGGATGGTTGCCAGTACAGTAATAGAGCACAGCATTTCTCTTCACAAATATGCTGCCATTGAAACTAATGAAAATGTTGATACTAAGTACCCTCACTAATCTTTAAAATTATTTTAGGCAAGACACGCCTTCTTAAATAATTCAAAGAATAAAAAGTTCAGTATGAGGAGACTCATACTGACTCTTTAAATCAAGCTGATTAAAACACTAACTGAAAGAGGTAAAAAAATAAGTTGGAGACCTATGGGGGTACCCTGCATCTTTGGCTCTTCTCTGCCATTTCTGTCTTGATGTTTGAGAATGAGAGCTGAACTGAGTATATTCTTGGGAAAAAATAGTTAATAAACAAAACGAGGCAAGTAATGTATTTATCTATAAAGAGAGAAGTTGACCTCAGTGCAGTCTCTAATGTTTCTATTGGGGCATCTTGTAAGGTAAACATAGGAAGTGGCTGTACAGTTACCCTTTATGCCTAGCACTGCTTCTGTGATCACTGCAAATATCAACATATACGTGCATTTATGTATATATTTCTAATAAGGTTTCTTGCACATCTGCATCTATCCATCTGCATAAATATCTTCCTAAATCTGGCTTGCCTGGATTACAAAACCAAAGGTAACACCACATAGCATGTGGTTTTCTCCTCAGTAAAAATGACATTTTACATATGGAACATTTGATGGACTAATTATGTCGCAACATTAAGGGAAGCGAATACTTTGGTACCATTACTTCCCCTACCTGGTACTGTTAGCTATTTTCATAAAATAGTTTCCTGTTCTTATTCTACTGCACCAAATTACTATTGTATCTAAGCCTAATACCAGTTATTATAGTGTGTAAAGAAGAAGGTCTGAGGAAAGGAATGGGTCTAAATCCCATGTCTCTCAACCTAGGTCATAGTGAGAAGGAAGCTGTCTTGTCCTCTTGATAGAGGCAAGGGAACACAAATCTACCAAAGAGGCAGACACAGCACAGCTGAAGATTATATTAAATCGTGTATGTGATGCTAGAGGAGTGTACAACAGTACCAAAAATAGAATACATGTAGGAAACAAGGGCATATACGTAATAGAAAAATAATCTTATATTTCACACATACTTTCGAACCATGGGGTCACTCACAGAAAGATCCCTTCATGCTGCTGGTTACTATGGTGACAAGGACAGCCTAAGAGCCTACTTAAGACAGAAGTGATGTGCTGCCTAGCCCATCACTCAAGGCAGTGGGATACTATCAGATAAAAATATTAGTTCAAGAAACCTGTGGTTGAAGACACCTTCTATAGCTTAGAGGTACCCAAGATGAATTCTTTTTAAGGGAGGAAAGACTGAGTGGATGTATTTCAGCTAATAATAAGCAGACTTATCTATGCATTTTAATTTTAGTTTTTGATACTTAGAAATTCTTTCACAAATACCGTCACTACAGAGAAATTCATCAATTTGATGCAGGCTTACCTAAGGCTAATACAATGAAGCAACATTTTACAATTTATAATATTTTCAAAAAGCAAATGCGAAAAGCATCTATTCCAGTATATGAAACTTGATTTCATTTTCAGAACACTTGTGTGTGTCAGATAGGTCTCTGCAAACTGAGACAAAGAGTTTACAAAAAGAGAAAGATGGATAAACTTTCACAGAGACATATGCTAAAAATCTAAACCCCAAAGGGCTTACCGATTTGAGCTATAAATGGGAGGAAGTGGAAAGGAGAAGATGCACAGAACAATGCATATGCAACTTAGGGACTGTCACACTGCTCCAGGCTATGATGTGAGAGTGTGTGTGTAAAATCCAAGACTTGGGGAATTACCCAGGAATTTTTGAAGTGAAGTTTAGTTCTATCCGAAGATAGCTCCACAGGACTAGACAGCTAATAAGGATTTAGGCACTTAGCTATGGAATAAGCAGGAGGTGTGTGGATCTGAGTTTTATACCAAATCATTAATCACAGAATAGTTTGGGCTGGAAAGGACCAATGAGCAGGGACACTTTCATGTTCCTCAGAGCCCTGTCCAACCTGACCTTGAATGTTTCCAGGGATGAGGCATCTACAACCTCTCCGGGAAACCTGTTCCAGTGTTTCACCACCCTCATCGTAAAAAAATTTCTTCTTTATAGCTAGCCTAAATCTACCCTCTTTTCGTTTAAAACCATTGCCCCTTGTCCTATTGCGACAGGCCCTGCTAAAAATTTGTCCCCGTCTTTTTTATAGGCTGCCTTTAAGTACTGAAAGGCTGCAATCAGGTCTCCCCGCAGCCTTCTCTTCTCCAGGCTGAACAAGCCCAATTCTCTCAGCCTTTCTTCATAGGAGAGGTGCTCCAGCCCTCTGATCATTTTTGTGGCCTCCTCTGGACTCGATCCAACAGGTCCATGTCTTTCCTGTGCTGAGGGCTCCAGAGCTGGACACAATACTCCAGGTAGGTTCTCAAAAATATATATAAAGATATACAAGTCTGTGTTTAGATGGAGTATGTACAAACAACATATCCACCTGAAAAATAGGGAAAACAAGCTTCTCCTGTCTTATAGAGGTGCTCTAAGGAAGAATACATAGAAATTCTGAAGCTTCTGTGTTGTGTTAGTAAACAGCTGGGGTAAACAGGTTAGCTAGATATACGAATAGATTTTTCAGTATGTAAGGTAGTCTTACACTTGAAAATGAATTTTCTACAGATTGCCACAGAGATATATTTAAGAAACACTTCTTTTTCAGCACCTGGAAAACATCACTATATAGTAGAGCGGTGACAAATGGTGACCCCAAACACAGTAGTAATAGATCCCAAAAGCATTGAAACAGAACACTTGAAAGGCAAAGAAATATTAAATTAGCATTTTCAATATTGTTTTTTCTGCAACACCTCACTGTATTTATTTCATCAACACCTAACATAACAAAACAAACAGGATTCAAGTGCTATGAAATATTTATTCCTGTAAACTAGCCTAAGGCAGTTTCTCTGCCTGTGCTAGCAGTCGTGCTAATGATACGGTAACAGCTTTAGAAGAATGCCCTTCACTCTCAGAGACACCAACAATCTTGTATAAACAGAAGAGAAAGGATCACAAGGTTCTTTCTTAACCAGTTGTAGGCAAGAGGCGAGACACTGCACACAATTGTATTGTGTGTAATGGACACATCGTTCTGTCATTGATAACAGCATCACTCAACAAGAACGGCAGCAGCACAGGCAGTATGCCTTGCCATAAAACAAGCCTTTCCATTAGCTAGTACACATCAAAAATCAAATTAAGGCTACTGATGACCTAAATTCAGTAAAATGTAGATCTGTTTAAATTAACTACTGTGATCCAGTAATGGGATTCTTCAACAGGTGTAAATGATGCTGTTGAAGAAATCAAGTTGTATTCATGGACCTTAGCTCTAATAGCAAAGAAATAATTGTCAGAGATTGTGGATTCTGCAGGACATAAGCATAGCATGGAGCAATTGTATTTTTATTGACTTCAACTGTAAGATTATCTGTCTAGTCAGCAAGTCACTACTTTTAAAACTAGACAGGTACAAATATCTCACTGGCAAATATTCAGCTGATTCTTTACAGGGCAGTTCTTTAGGAGACTTCAGTTACCTGGGTAATACCTGGCGAGGCCAGTTGCACTACCAAAAACCTGCCATAATAAAGTGGGGTCTTCTTCTCTGTTCCGCTTGAACACGTCATCCAATGCTGCAGTCCAGTTCAGTTCATTTAACACTATTGTTGCTGTCAAAGACAAAACACATTTGATATTAGAAAGTTACATCCTAACATAAACATAAATGACTACAAAAACCAAACTGAACTATTGCAAATAATATTTCATCAATCAACAAAGTAAATTTAAAGAAACACACTCCTCTTCCCTGGGAATTTTCACTAAGTTCCTTATGCTTTCTTCTTTCCATTGCATAATTTGTATGCAATGACTACTGGCTTATTTTCTTTTCACTTCATTTAATCAGCTGCAAATCTCTTACTAATTTCCTCCTCAGAATCTCAGTCATGTTAGGCAATAGCAGGTATTCAGTTAATTAGAAAGAGCAAGGGCTTTTTGTTGGTTTGGCCACTAACTCTTTCTTTTGTGTTGCCTAGTGTCATTGTAAGTAATATTTCTGAAACTGAAACACCTAGGTTAGCAAGCCAAGAGAGGGAAGGAAACTAGAGAGGAAAAAAAAATATTTCAGAACAGCTGAAGATGTAGGTATAAAACCTACAGAAGTCACTGCTGTAATAGAGATCCTGCTTACACTATGGTATAGCACACAGGAAAGAAAACTCAACTTCTTTTGCCAATGAGCAAATCAAGCTGAAATAAAAACAGTTCACGTTTGAGGCATGTGGGTGGCATCACAGTACAACAGTTGGGATGTAGGTCTACGTTCTAGTCCTCTGCTAGTGTGAAAAAAAGAAACAATAAAAATAAGGACAGGCTGAAAGTTAACATTTGACAGCCCATTTCCAAAGTGAGGTTGTTAACAGGTACTAGAGAAATGAGATCGCAGCATTAAATTTTATAGGCTTGTTCTTAAAGGTTAAGGAGAAAATTGCTACACCATGTATTTTGCAGAAAGGTTTATCTGTTTTTTTTCCAAAGTAGTTTTAAGATAATATTACTCTCTCAAGGTACAGCTTTTTATATAAATATCAAATTAAATTGCCAACTCTTGAGATTCCATGTAAGCAACAGGCTTGTACTATATACCTGCCTCTTTGTAAGTAGATAGTTATAAATACATATATGTTTGCTTAAGAAAGAGGAATAATTCCCTAAGGCACCATGATAAGTTTATTATCATCTTAAAATGGTTACTGTTCAATTATTTCTCTTAGATCTAGTTTGACCTACTGTGTAATTAAGCATTATGTACAGACTTTCTAGACTTGACCTTGTTTCAGGTGCTACTTCCAGAAGTGTCTCCACAAAGCCATTAGAAGCTCCGTCCTTATCCAGACAAGAATTTCCTTTGGTGCTTGAATTTTCATTTTTTCATGTTATCATTTCCTCATCTGATACACAGAGTACTTGGCCCAGTGGAAGCCTATGCCAATGATTACTGGAGGCATTTAGGGCACTGGAGCTTAGGACACTGACTTAAGGCACATGGGAGGCAGTAGTTCTTACCTCTTAGCCAGCTGACAAAGCATTTATGTGTCAGGGTCCTCTAGGAATTCCGAAGCCCCATAACAATATAAACCAATGAATTTCTTGTGGCCTTGTGACCTGACTTAAAATTGCTGCAGCCTCTACCCCCAAGTCTGTCAGTGCCTTTATCGCCCTGCTCAGACCACTGACATCCCTATTCAGCAAAACATTTAATCAAGAAAAAATTGTTTTTAAATTAATCATGCTCATAAATGCTTTTCTGAATCAGTTGCTAAACACCTCATGAAAAAACACTCTTCACATATGAAATGTGGTACAATATTTCTAAAGAGAAGATTTCCTTCAGACAGTAAGTTTACTAACAAATTATATTATATACATTAAACATGCTACTACATTTACAAATACTGTTGCAAAGAGTGTCTGTGTAGTATCATCCAAAAATGTATTGCAAAGAGCTATATATGTATTTGAACCTGTATGTTTACACACACATATGCACATACACATTCATATATATATATATATATATAAATGTATTAAAAATACATGCACATACAAAAATAAGGAACTAAGGAGACAATCTAAAAACAGTAAAATAACTAAGTATTGAAGTACTGAATGGATATATTGGAACTAATAATTTCAACATTTTATTAAACTTGTTGAGATTAAGCTATAAAGCAAGAAATACAGCTCACTAGATCTTATTTGTAATATTTGCGAAGTGATGCTTTATAGTCAGAGTCAAGAGTTTTATCATCTTATTTACGTCCCACTTTCCCCTTTCTCCTCCCCTAAAACTTTCTCCCAGAGACAAACACAACACCCTAAAAAAAAAATTCAAGAACTTGCAGCAGGGCGGTAAGGTGGGGGGAGGAAAAAACATGTGAAATTAGAATTGAAAAAAAAAAAAAAATGTGGAATTTAAGATGAGAAACAAGAACGGAGAATCCAAACAGAAGTAAAATTAAATAAGTCGTGGAAAAGGCTACTAACAGTATGTAATATATCTGTTCTCAGGTACGGAAAAACATCTTCCTGCACTACAGGAATTTGTAGTTAGGTACCCAGGTCTCATTTCAGAAATAAATTTTAACAGTACACAGGTGACTTCACCATATACCACTTTCCTCTTACTTCACTTTCCTATTATGACAAGAATTTGTGCTTGGAACAGATACAGAGAGTTTATTTGGTGGGACTGATATGCAAATAGCTGATTGTACAGTCATTAAAACAATTCCTGGAGCAGTTTCCTATACATAATTCAGACTTGCTCCCTTCAGTCAGGGTTTTTTGTTTGTTTACATTCTATATACAAGTATACTTGTATAGAATGTACCCACATTTGCATTAACTAATCCAGTGATCAGTAAATAAGGAAAGAGGTGCTGAAATTTTAGCTTTAATATTTTAATATTTTTTTCTGTTAGTGTTTTCCACAACTCAGATTACTTTTCTATTTCTTCTCAAGAATATGCTCTGGACTTCAAAAGGCAAGCTGTAAATCAAGTCCCCTAATTATTTTTTTTTCTTTTTTTTTTCCGAATGCAATATACCTCTGGTAATAGGACATTTTATACCAATACCTCTAGATTCTGGTCTAAAGGCTACAGCAATGGATTTGAAACTTGCCAACAAAAGAAAAGCAAGCAAATCTGCTCATAAACAGCAACAAAACTATTCTTCAAATGGTTCCTACTAAAATATCATGATTCTCAATTTGCACATAAAAATCAATGCAGTGCTACTTTCACTAGCTCATAGTAGAGACCGTGGCACCTGTCAGAATACCCTAATTTGGGAGACACGGATTTATACTGACTTCATTAATATAGTGAGAATTTATTTTATTTCTCTGTTATTAAAAAAAAAAAACAAAAAAAACCACCCTAAAATAAAAAGTTTAGTGGTGTAGCCACACCTACTGACATGCTGTAAATCCTAGAAACACTTACCTTTCTTTTTGAGTTAACTTCCATACAGGAAAGAGCTTTTGACTGATAATTGGCAGAAAATCTAGTTGGAGACAACTCTCCAATAAGCTTATTTCCAATTCTGCTAAAAGAAGTCTTTGAAGATTACTACTTCAAAGTATTTCAGCTGCTACCTTTCACTTGATATGGGCAAGATGAAAAAATAAAATTTATCATCACACAATAGGAAACATCATTCTTTCTGGCTAATTCCGCTGAACTCCATCCACCTTTTCTTTTTTTCCCCTCTTCTTTATGACATGAGGTTTAGGGGCCTTGACAAGGAATGGATTCAATTTTCCTCTGCAAATGCAATCAATAAAAAATAGAAAGCACTACCATGCTCTCTTTAAAAGAACCGGAATACACTTCTGATGATTTATTCAATGTATAGGCCCTGGCTTGCCTACAAGGCAGAGTACAACTTTATTTGAAAAGCCTGAGAGCTATTTACTGTATCTGAAAATATGTCAGCTGCTGTTCCCTGATGCGGCAGCTACACATACGCTGGGTAGAACAGAAGGGAGCTCCTCAGCAGTTCATTAATCTTCTTTTAGTGTGTGGAATGTATTACACTTCCATATCCTATTTAATGAAGTTGTCTCATTGATTTCTTTAAAGACAACACTGACTAGTTATTGTTATGAATCAAATATATATTTGCCATCAAATATTATGGTATTTAAAAGTGGGCACAGAGGGACAATGCATTTGCAAGCACATATTTCTGTATATACATGTGCAGATGCAGATGCTTCCACCTGTAGCCTTGCTAATCAGATATTATAGACACTCCACTGGAGGCATAAACTACTCTTCTTTATGACTTACATGTTTCATGAATTTTTTCAAGATTAGATTCCTTCCGGCTTATGTTCAATCACATAAAAAGTTGCACACTCTCAATTGTCATTGGAAACTTGTAAACCCATCTCATTTTACATTGGACTAAGAAGGAATGGTCTTTTTTTTTATTTTAAGGTATTTTTAATTAGATTTTTGCACTGGTTTGTATGTATGTGTGTGGGTATACACATTTTCCTCATAATTAGCAAATATATTAATTTGAAGAACTATTCTGGTAGTAACTTGAACTTCAACCCTTCAAATTTACATGCATGTTTTAAGCCATCTATTTCTCTCATGCAAAAGGCCAGAGCAGAGGAAAGATTATAGTGGCTCCAAACTGAACACTGTCTCCAAGGTAACTGGTCCTCAGAGTGGAATCAGAAATCTGAATTTAGTTACTTAGGCTTTCCACAGAAAACCACAGGAAAGTGTCCAACTCAAAACATTAATCCAAAAAAACTTCACAGCTGATTAGAAAACAGAAGAGAATAAAGGAAAAATTCTGAGAACTGGGGGAACTGGGGAGTGTTTTAGCCAACCTCTCCATAGAGGTTAAGCAAATAAATCAGAGCTCCAAAGGACGCATTTCTATCCACTTACATGGGTAAGCACACTGTTAGATACAGGACTGGATCCTAGGAGTGTGCATCTACAAACTGAATGCTTTAAATGTACACATACTCCAGAACACAAAATTTATCAGATCAGTTACAAATATTGTAATAACTTGTATTTAGTTTTGAAAGCATCCCCCAGCTGATTTGAAAGTGTTCCTATATTAGGAATTAATT